GACGCGACAAGGATATCGTGCGTGTTTCGCTTGAGAGTAGGATCTTTCGGATTCGGTGAAGTGTAGAAGAAGGGGGGGGAGAGGAAAAAAAAAAAGTAAAAGTGACGAGTGAAAACAGGAAGATCAAGACAGCCAAGATGATGAAGAAGGAGAAACCGATGATGTCGGTGACCGCCATCATCCAAGGGACTCAGGCCCAACATTGGTCCCGTGGGAACACTTGTATGTATATCATGTATATCGTTTTTATTTATATAAATATTGTATATAATTGAATTTTTATTTTGTACAGGATATTTCATTTATTAGAAGAGTTATTTTGATTTGGTTAAAGTATAATATGGTTGAGTTGAAAATTGAGTTGAAATTTTATATTTAATATATTTATAGTGCGTAAAATATAAAAAATTATTCGTATAACGTAGATATAAATGGACCATCCTGTACATGCGCGTGGAATTCAATATAATATTTCACAGTTATACACGAAAGAAAGAAAGATGCTATTCTCCGTGTCGTCAAATGCGTACCATTTATCGCATTCCCAAGTCGTTAGGTTATGCAGGTTTCATAAGAATTATACTGTTAATAAAATACCGAATTGCATTAAGACGTCTTGCAAGATTCCATTGCACGCGTATGTGAGACATATATATTTTTCATAAAGTACTCTTTGTTCTATAACATTTTTACAAAGTTATCTTTTCCCAAAAGATAAAAATTCATTTTGTCATAATTTATATGTAATAATCTCTTTTGAAAAAATATATATATATATATTTATTTTATTATATATATTTAATAAATAATGTAAACAATTGATTTATCTGTCGCATTTAAAAATAATTAAATGCGACATTATTAAATTTCATGAATTACTATTAAAATTCAAATTTTCACTATAATTCCTACTAATTAAAATTAATATCATTTGAAACATCCCACGAATTTCAATTTTTAATGATACTTAAACGAAACCCATTGTTAAATGCGTGCGAATGATAATTAGCATACTGCTGGTAGTACGTATAGTCAATTAACACCGGTGTCAAGGCTTGCTCTTATCTGCACTCAAAATGATCCTTGTTATAATTTCATAATAGCTTGTAATTGTAGAAAAATATGATGAAACGTAAATGGAATGATGGTGGTTTGTTTCGATCATTTTTAACTTTCTTTTTAAAATTATTATAAAAATGATATATATATATTACATCTATCACAAATTATTTATTTGTATAAATTATACAAATATATTATCTATAATTTCACGAGAATTTTAACGTCTGACCAAACACAGGATCAATTTACTCAATTATTTCCTTCGTTTAACTCATTCTCACACCATATTTTTAACTGTTAAAGAGTTATTATTGTGTATATTCTTTATCTTATTTTATCCTTTTTTATTAATCAACATCATTAAGAAATAGATGGTTAACAAAATAGAATTAAAAAAAATCTGAAAACTACGATTCATTGTTCGCTTTCCAACTTTTGAATAAACATGCATACTTACGTATTATCATTCATGTATTATCGATATCTCGGCACTCGAGTGACTCACGCCGATTCCGCAACCGCTCGTGGATCGGGCCCGTTTAACGCTCGATCGTCTAGCGTTGAACGCATAGGGTGAAGGTCGGCTATTGAAACTTGAATGGCGTGTAGAATTCGCGAGTGAAAACGCATGCGCTCGCGGCGATCTCGCCGATCACGTCGTTATCAGTCGCAGCAATGGCTTTAAAAGCGGCCTTAAAGCGGCCCGCGAACGCTCGCCGCGAGAAGGTCACGCCAATGCGCCTCGTTATCTACGCCTCTGCCGCAATTTACGAGGCTTTTCGAGGCTTATCGCGTGCCCCTGTTGCCGGCCAACAAACGCGGAATGACGCATTTCGAACTTCTTTTCGTTTGTCTATTTCTGTCCTTCTTCCTCTTCTTTTCCTTTGCTCGAAGTTACGTAGGCAGATTCTTTAGATGGAAAAGTTTTGTATTTTTCATTCTTAAATTTTAAAATAATTGATAAGATAATTTACGTGTTATGTTGTTTTAATACGCGAAATAAAAAAATTTTTGTTTACAGAAATATATAAATATCGCAAGTTTTCTGCTACAAAGTTAATAAAATGAAACCTACACGTTGATATTTAAAAAACTCTTGAAGCGTACATGTATTCGAATAAACAATAAACTTTTATTCGCATCATTTTATACGAGATTAAAAAATTCCCGTATAAAAATATAATAATTTTGCTCTAGAAGATTATCTCATAATTCTATTGCTTAACTTATCGCCACCAGATGTCTCGATTAACTCTTACTTTCTCGCAAGTATTTTTCCTCTTTCCATTTTATTTAAGATATATTTCATATAAGGTTTATCATATAAAGTAAAAAATTCTTGTACGAAGATACGAAAGTAAGAAAAAAAAAATTCTATGCCTCGATACTTACTGCTACAAAAACCACAAAGAAAAGAGTCCTTGTTGAAAAAATACATCTATCTCCACTCCCATCCGGAATATTTACAGACCTCTCCCCGATACTTGGCTTCCTCTTTCGTACAGAGTGCTCGTTGTAAAAAGTGAACTTCACCTCCTTCACATAATTTCCACGACTCTGTTTGCTCAGTCTAGATCTCTCGCCCCATCTTTTGTCGCAACACACATGTCCACGTATTGTACGCGTTATAATCGTGTACACGTGTAACAACGTGTGATAAGAGCATAGGACGGTTTGCAGAGCGGTTCGTGCTGGTTCGATTAATCCACGCACTAGCACGAACGCAACCTTGGCACCAATGCGAACCAACCGTGAAGTGCAGCCTCTGTCGCGGCTGCACACGTGTGCACCACCACACGGTGCACACCTCTTCTGTTTGTGATTAGACTCGACACTGCGTGTGGGTGTTAGTTAGTTCAGTTTGAGCAATTCTGGCCAAACGTACGTACGTTTAATTAATAATTGGAGTAATTGGACTGACACGGCTACAGCATTAAAAACATTCATCGCCGATCGAATTTTCTAATCTGATAAATTTCCTTTTTATACGACGTTTTTATTTTTTAAATCGTGGAAGTAAAATTTAAACGAATTAAATAATTAATATATATATACTTTTTTATATTATTAAATGTAAGGAGAATAACGATACGATTAGAAAATTTTCAATAAGACAATTTTTTTTACTGTTGAAATATTAATCATTGATAAAATATTGTTCAAAATTTGTTCTTTATGAATTTTTTATATTTTTATTATTAAAAAAAAATATGAAATCTATAATATAATTTATTATGACGTTCCTTTTTTAAATTCTTCGATTATATATTTATAGACTTTACGTTATAACTTTAAGTATTCACATAGGTTAGATAAAGATTTTCTTTTTATATTGAATAGACGGTTACTAAGCTGCATAACGTTTTATAAATCGTGAAGGAATAAAGGGTACGTATTGAAAAACATGTAGAACGCATGATGAATGTGAATGACAGGTTGAATCGATTAACAAATCAAACGAGACAGAGGCAGACTCATTTTACCGAGGTTTCGGCATTAATCATCGTCAGTGAGATCACTGGCTCGCGGGCGTTCGTGTGATCAAGATCTCGAACGTTTCGAATAAAAATTACGTATTTCGAAATCGATTTGCCGCAATAGCGAACAATTTTCCGGGTAAGCGATAAAAATATTTTAATTTTCCTCTATTTATTCATTTCAATTTACACGTGGTCATTTTTACAACGAAAATAATCCAAGTGCTACACATATGAATCGCCCATTTAATCTAGTCTCGATGATTCATGCGATTCGAGTATTATCGATCAATGCATGCGATCGCGAAATTGTTGTGCGTGATTATTCTTGGAAAATGTTGCGACTTCGTTATTTTAATTTATCGTGATTCGATTATTCGAAATATATTTTTTTTTTCTTTTCATTTTTATTCGACAAGTTTATTAAATTGAGAAAATTTTACTCAATATCGAGTATTAAATTTTCGTACGTGTAAAAGATAACACGTGTAATTATTCTTCCTTTATTATAACGTGAAGCCATTTTGCTAACAAATAATACGAATTAAGAATGTAATAAATAGAAACGTAGCATGTGAATTATCGTAATCGTAAAAATTAAGATAGATTGTGCTTACTTCAAGTGATTGAAGTAATTCGTATTCTCGATATCGAATTGAAAAAAAATTCTCCGTACCGATCTTTTGTTCTCACAAAAGATTAGATCACACGAGTTTAATCATCGAAATCCCACGAGATTGCACAGAAGCATATAGGGGGAGGGAAGGCGTCTTACAGGAAGCTATCATTCATTGTAGTCACGTTGGAAGGTTTCTCGACGTGGCTAGTGACCGATTAGATGTATCTATTACGTGGACGGATCGGCATACGCAATCGTAGCGGAACGATCGTGGCGTTAATAAGCGTTTCGAGCACGTATTCGCATCATATGGAACGTGTAGGTCTCGTGTCGCCAGTAAGTTTCACCTAGGTATTTGCATTGCATTATTGTTGATGCAATCACGAATATCAGAGATCGTTTAAATACCTCGATTAGTATTAAGTTAAAGTTATTCTCACGAAAATTTTCATACCTGAAAAGATCATTTTTATTGAATTAATAATTATTAATTTTACATCGAATTGTCGATATAAAAATATATAGTTAGAAAAATGGAGAAATTATATATTCGATCAAAATATAATATTTGATCAAATGATCGAAATTTGAGGATGCAAATTAATATTTGGGAGGATATCGTTAAATCGTCTCAGGAATTTTTTTTTTTTTTTTCTCTAAAATCGACTAGTATTAATTATTTTGATGACACACGATTTCCTTGATTTAATGTATACTTTTAATTACCATTAAATACTGTTTTATCGAGTCATATGCAATCATGTTTTTTTACCTAGATTCATAATCAATCAATTTTTTTTATCGGAGCGTAAACTGCTCGGAAGTTATGGAAATGTAAAGAATATATAATTAATTATTCTGCGTATAATTTCCTGAAGTATTTTATTTAATATTTTGTATGTAATGAGATAATATTTAATTACGGGAAAAATAATAATTTTAAACGTTTACGAAGAAAACGTTATAGTAGAAATTTCTCAAATACGGATGAAATTGTGAGATTCATCGAGAAGTTTTAAGAACTAAGAAGTGCCAATGTGATAAAAATAAAAAAAAAAACTAAAAAAAGATTGAAACTATATTTGAATAAGATTAGAATTATTATAATCTTGTTAAAATAACTTGGTTCTATAATTTATTTATAACGAGAGACGACATACATTATCTTAAATATATATTATAGCAGCAAGATAGATTTATAACTCGTCATTTATAATTTTAAACGATAATCGCCGATTCTAATCTGGAATTAGAAAATAAGAATTTAGGAAAACTCATAAGAATGAAATTTTGAAAATTTTGAAAATTTTGAAACAATTTTCCAATTCTTTTTTCCGACTAAATTTTTCTGAATTTCTATTTTTCTAAATTTTATTATTTATTTTATATCGCGCATTTTGATGGAACTTGGTAAACGACCAATGTTTCAAAATAGATGGACGATGGATCGACAAAAGGCGCGATATAAATCTTGGATCAAAGCACGTGCTCGACCAATTGTATTTATGATACTCGATTGTTGGGTGCGTCTTGGCTAAGATCACGTTTTACACCGTGACACGTGCAGAAAATTCCCGTACACGATGACACGAGATGAGCATATTGGACATCAAACGTCTTCATTGTTATTCCTTTATTTCTGTAACACTTCATCAATTCGTAATTAATTCATTCACATAAAAATTCTTGTACAATTTTTAATTACAAATCACAATAGAATTTCAAAATTTGATTTTAAATACAGTTTTTCTAATAACATAATTGCAAATAATATTTGCATGAAAGTAAGAACAATTCTTTTTTAAATGTAACAATGAATATTTTGTAAAAAATACAAACGAAAAACTCTTTTTTCCCCGAACAATATTCCTTTATTTCTGTAACATTTCATCAATTCGTAATTAATTCATTCACATAAAAATTCTTGTACAATTTTTAATTAATCAAATCATAATCCAATAGAATTTCAAAATTTGATTTTAAATACAGTTTTTCTAATAACATAATTGCAAATAATATTTGCATGAAAGTAAGAACAATTCTTTTTTAAATGTAACAATGAATATTTTGTAAAAAAAAGGACAAACGAAAAACTCTTTTTTCCCCGAACAAAAAAATTTTCTAGAAATGACAAAAGTGTCGCCATCGTCAATCTGATGAAATTTTCGCGACGGTCGCAGACGAGAAATCGAATAATAAAATAGATACGGATCTCGAGTTGTGTCGACACTAGGAACCCCCCAGGTGGTTGTTCTCGGTGAATTTTATACCGTCCCCTCATAAGAGGTGGATTTCTTTCACCCGTGATCCATTTATTTTTACTCGTCCATGGAAACTCGACTTTGTCTTCGCTCTCCCTTCGTACGATTTATCTACGTATCTGCCAGACATCCGGTTGCTGGTGTGTCTCTTATCGAACGTGAAATCCCCGATTGTCTCGAAGACCTTTCGAATTATCGAGAGAGACTGCTCGATGTGTCCTGGAGGCGAGTCTATATCCGCTGGGACTGCAAATTTTCTCGAGTTTTCAAAGGGGGAATCGATATCCATCTTTTCTAACCTTGATTATAGATGATGGTGTCAGAATGGTGTGGCCTCATACTTTTGAGAATCTGAATTTATCGTTTGGACTTGCAAGCATTATGAGGAGAGATCGTTTTTTACTGATTTTTCTCGACTATTTCACTGAAGAAAATAGGTTTTATATGGTTACTTTTTATATTGGTGGATAAATAGTAATTTGAGAGATTTAATCAAATATTCTTGAAAATATTTCACTTATTATACGTAGAAAGAGTTGATTATATTAGGAAGATTTTATGGAAATCATGAAATTAAATTTTCATTGAATTAATTAACTTGCTCCTTCAG